CTTTCCAGCCCTGGTATCATTTTTGTACTTAATTGCTGTTAAAATGTTCCTTGGACTCTTATGGGAAGGCAGTGTATGCACTTTAATTATTGTGATAGGTTTGCAAAAGGTGTGGCATTGCACTTTATTAGTTAAGAATGAGGAGTGTTAGTGGAAATAAAGTCTATAACATTATACAACATCCCATTCCCAAGACAAGCACTCGTGTCTTCCTGATGATGGTGTTGCTCTATTTGTTTTCCAATTACATCTTGAATGAACTCAATAGACCACAAGGCATGATGGGAGAAATCTACTTTCTGGCAATTACAGCTTATGTTCTGCTTAGAGGTAGTGAACATTTTCATTGTCCATATTTAGCTGGTCTTTAAAAGTACAGTATAGCAATCTTGAGACTCAAAAAATGCTTTTTGTGATTTCAGGAGAGAACCCCTAAAACAATCCTGGCTTCAGACTATTAATGCAGGGGGAGGCAGGCTGCCATGGAACCCAAGCAAGAAACAGAACTAGAACAATGAGACCTTTCTGATGTCAACAGAATTTGCACGAGTTAAGCGATGTAAACATAAATCATCAATGGGCTGACAAAATATTTTCTAGGAATAGGCAAAATAGACTTCCAACTACCAGAGAAAGAGACTTCTAGAAATTTGTGTTCACCTTTTTTTTGGTTTGTATTTCATGTATTTTATAACCTACTTGAAGTTCTACTATTATACAACTTACTGCCAAACGGTATGTTTGGTTTTATATTAAAGAGTTTTTTAATATGATTTTCCACAATAGAATTCTTCTGTGCATAACTGCTGATGTCTACAAATGACAAACACTATGAATGGTGTCACAGCAGCCAACATGTACGCTGAATGCTTGAACCATAAATCATGTGTCAAGTTCTTATGCTAATTCTGAAAGATGATTTTTATATTAAATATTAGCAACTAGACAAATACATTATATCTATTGAAGTCATCCATTGGGGAGGGGGAACATTATTTCTAATTGCAATTTGATTCAGTTTGACGGAGCTTTTGTTTCATAGTAAACAATGAAGACTTTCAAAGAGCCTCCTTGAAAATTCAGTCAAAACAATATCTGCCTAATACAATTTTAGATAAACTATTATCAAAGAGGTTTCAATAGCAATGGAAATATCAATAAAATATGGCAACTAGCCTATGTCATTTGGAGCATAAAGGTGTAAACATATTAGAAAGAGTTCAAGTGGCAAGCTAATAGAACCAACTGGCTTTGACTCAGTTTTGTCATGTAACCAAAAAATCCAATTTATGTAACTAAGTATTTCAAGTTTCATTTAAAACTTTTTAAAAATAGACTAGCCACATTGTTTTTAGAACATAAGGGGGGTATCAAAAAAATGTATACATATGACTTGTATCCATCTTTTGTTATCAGTACATAGTACTGAGTATTACAATTTTAATACGGTTTTTTCCTACCTTAAAATGTGTATACATTTTTTGGCATTCTCTGTATTTGCGATGAATATATTCAAGTACTTGAATTATCCATCAAAGCTGCCTTAGATCTCGGTTTCACTTTCTTTAGGCAAATTCAATGCACATACCTCATTGAGAATCAGTATAATTCTAGTCTCATTTACCCAAGTGTGTTTTCATAAAACTAGAGGATTAAATTAAAAGCATATGGTCTGGAGCCAAATTATAGTCATTTACTAGCTTTGCTAATTTGGCTAATTTTCCTGTGTTTTAGTTTCTCCTCCAGTAAAATGAGTTAGTAGGACGAACCTCATATTATTATTATGAGGATTAAATAAGATAATGTATATTTAAAAGTTTACAATTCTAGGGTTTCGGATCCCACATATGAGGGCCACTGACACTGCCCTCTACAGCTAAGATGCTGAACAACAGCTCAACCTGGAGCTGGGCTGCAATGAGTCGCCTAGGACGACTAGGCTGCAGCCCCTGTGGCAGTGGGTTGCCATGGGCTACTGTGTGTAGCCAGCAGCCGCAGTGAGCCGCCGTCCAGAAGCCGGCAACTGAGCTGCCTTGCCCGGGAAGAGCGCAATGATGGTGCCAACTTGGGCCAGTGAAGCAACGTCCTCCACAGCTAGACTGAAGAACAAAAAGGACTTATCTGTTTCCCTTCCCCCAATTCCCCAGCGTTGTTCCCATCCCCCCAATTCCCCAATAAAAATCTTCCAAAAAAAAGTTTACAATTCTACCTAGCACATTTAAAACTTGCTGTATCATTACTTATTGGGGAAATCATGCTGATGTGTTTTATTCATTAGACATTTGTATACATTTACATATATATGTATATGCATAATGTATATACACATACACACACACACACACACACATACGAGGTGTGATCAAAAGATACGGTGAATGTTTAAATAAAAAAAAGTATTACAGTAAAAGATGCATTGCCATTAATCCCCCTCGAAATACTCCCTCTTGCTTCGAACACACCTATCCCATTGTTCTTACCATTGCCTGAAGCAGGCCTGGAAGTCCTCCTTCGCGTCTTTACTTCATCCTCCATCATGACAATGCTCCATGTCACACATCGCTTCTGGAATATGGCAATTTCTGTCAAACAAAAGCATTACGGTGTGTCCTCATCCACCTTATTCACGGGATCTGGCACATGCAACTTCTGGCTCTTCCCCAAAGTCAAAATGACCATGAAAGGAAAACGTTTTGAATCAATTCAGGACATCGAGGCAGCCATGACAGCTCAACTAAAGACACTCAGAAATAGGACTTCCAGAACTGCTTCAGGAAGTGGCAAGAANGTCCCTTGCTCCCTGAATGGGATCATGATCTGCCATGTTACCTGATATCAAACCTAAGGGACAACTTGATGCACGGAGACATTTCTTTTTCTTTTTTTTAATCTAAATAATATATTCTATTTAATATATTTTATTGAGTTCAGTGAGTACAAACTATTGCCATTTCAACATGCAGTCAACAGAAACAAGGAAACATTGAGATAGTTTATGTATTTTTTTCATCCTAAATCTTGAAAATCCAGAGTGTCTTTTTCACTTACAGCGCATCTGCATTTGGACTCGCCACGTGTCAAGGGCTCAGCAGCACTTACAGCCAGTGGTTAGGCCGCCCAGATGTAAAATGCGTCAGTTAACCTTGACAACGACTTTAAGAACATGGAAGCTTTGTGATTATCAATGAGGAATTAACACAAAGAAATTAAGAAATTTGTTCATCAGCAGCAACTTGGTGCAAAGCCCAGACTCAAACCTTGGTCTTTGGTCGCCAAGCTTTATGCTCCGTTTTCTACTGTCTGTACTGTAAGAACTGATGTTCAACATGACCCTGAAATACAGCCAGATCGATCAAATAAATTAATAGTGATGTGGCTTCACCTGTAAAATGAGAGGGCTGGACAGGCGGTCACATTTCTTTCTTTTCTTTTCTTCCCTTCCCTTCCCTTCCCTTCCCTTTTCTTTTCTTTTTTCTTTGGGGATGACACCACTCTCTTCACAAAGCTATTTTAACTCGGGAACATTCTGATCATTTTGATGTGGCCAAAGACCCCCCAGGAATGGGGCTTTCAGGTTTTGTTAGTTTTGTCTAAAGTCAGGAACAGAGTACACCCATTCCGTCTCATACTGAGAATGAGGAAGGTCCCATTATCAGGAAAACTCAATCAGCGTCTATGAATCAAGGAACTGACTCCTCAACTGTGCCCCTCCCTAATTCTTTCTCTGTCCTCAATGGAGGTCTGATTCAATCATTTAATCTGGAGAAAGGTGAAGATCCCATCAGGATTACCTGGATGGGGATTGAGGAGTCTATTCAGGTTATTGCTTTCTGATTGGAGGTTAGTAGTTGAAAAGGGAAGATGTGATTAGAAAGGTCTATAAAAGACTCAGGCACCAAAGAAGAGATAGAGAAACAGCTCTGGAGTCACCACCGCCTTGGTTCCCTCCCAGGTCTGAGGTCTGAGCACTCAGCCAACCATCTCAGGGCAGGTAAGTTACCTGCCTCAGCTAAGGACACACCGCCTTACCTAAGGCAGCCGGCATGCAGCCTGAGAGGGCAAGGAGAGCATTCTTCTTTCTTTATTTTCAGATGAACAGATTTAAGCTTCGGCTTTGCCTCTAAGTGCAGTTTTGCCTTAATCCCAAACATTTTGATTTGTGCTTTGATTTGTCATTTTAAAATGCCTTAAATGAGCTGAATTTTTTTTTCTAATGAAAAAAAACCTGGCGTTTTACTTCTTGACATTTTAAATATTTAGTCTGTGCACTTAGATTATAGCTCACATACTTGGTGGTTTTGTGATTTTACTAGTTAGGCTTTCTTTAGCTAAAAGTTTCAGAACATTCCATATTATTGAAGAGTATTTTTAAAGAGTAGAGTCTGTACTGAATGTGAACTAACGTGTTCCCCCGAACCCCTTCCCAACATGGTCATTCTAATAAATGGGAAGAGAGAACGCAGAGAAGTGTACATCTCAGTGTTTTTTACCTCTAAGCTTTGTTACACAACTTTTTAACAATTTCTTGTTTAAATTTTTAAACAATTTTTAAAGACTAATGGCATCCATTTTAGGGGAATCATCTTAACCTTTCCCGGCCAGGTTAACTGTGGGCTTTGTTGGGTTGCATGATGTTCCCATATCTGTTGTTTTAGGGCCTTGAGTGATGGTCTGAAAGTTTTCCCCCCAAAAGGGTGGGGGTCAGCTTTCAGTCTCCTTGGTCCCCACTTCCCAGTGGGACTGGAATTAAAGCAGTGGGTGCTTCCGAGATGCTTGTCCTGGGGCCAGTAGGAGCAGAACTATGACTCTGTGGCCACTGAGCCCAGGATGCAGCTGGGTAAACTGAGCCTCTTCCATCTTTGCCAGAGCAGTGACTTTGGTCCTGCGTTGGTTCCTCTGAAGGGTGGGGAACCAGATGATGGGCGTGCTCATGCTTGGCCTGAGAAAGATGCTGTGTTCCTTAGACACTTCCGCAGGGTTCCCTTCGGAGCAGATTCAAGATGAGCGTCCGGACGCCACCCGGACTCCTGGAACTGGCGGGGAAGAGCCTGCTAAGGGACGAGGCCCTGGTCATCGCATCTCTGGAGTATCTGCCCACTGAGCTCTTCCCGCCGCTGTTCATGGAGGCGTTCTGCGGGAGACACAGCGAGTCCCTGAAGGCCATGGGGCTCGCCTGGCCCTTTGCCCGCCTCCCTCTGGGGGGCCTGATGCAAATGCCTCAGCACAAGGCCTTACAAGCTATATTGGATGGGCTTGACATCCTGCTCGCCCAGAAGGTTCGCCCCAGGTGAGGCAGATCCAGGTAGCCCAGAAAGGTCCTGGGCATCCTGGAAGACGACTGGGGTCAGGGAGTGTGGCGGGCCGAAGGGTGGATCCGAGCTCTCTGATGGTGCCAGTGAAGCTCAGAGAGGCCTCGGCCGTGCTGAGCCCACTTTGGAAAGTGGAGGACGGCTTAAGAGGCCGGGGCGCCTGGAAGAACATGCCCCTGCCTCCTCCCGGTGATCCTTAAAGGCTCTAGTAGTAGAGGCCAAGAAGGATGGAAGGGGAAGGAGATGGAGAAAGGCAGAGAGGGAAGAAGAGGGCATGGGAGCCGCTGATGTGAAGTGCAAGCTCCGAGGGGAAGCCCCATTGTTGCCTAAGCTCTGAGATGCTTGGTCTCATTCTGCTGCCTTCATTCTGTTGACCTGCAAGCATTTCAGCCAATGTCCTGCTTTCCCCCACAGGAGGTGGAAACTGAAGGTGCTGGATTTACGGAACACTGGTCAGAACTTCTGGAGCATGTGGTCTGGAGCCAGGGCCCAGGAGCCCTCACTGATGGGACCGGTGGCTGAGGCCAGGTCCAGGATGAGGAAGCGCTTGGGCCCCTTGGAGGTATTCATAGACCTTAGCTTCAGTGATAGGATCCAGGATCAGTTCTTCACCTACCTCATCTGGTGGGCCAAGCAGAGAGAAGGGTCCCTCCACCTGTGCTGTAAGACCCTGAAGATTTTTGCAGTGCCCATCAAGAAGATTAAGAAGGCCCTGGCTATGGTGCAGCTGGACTGTATCCAGGTGGTGGAAGTGAACTGCACCTGGAATCTGTCCACCCTGGGGATGTTTGCTCCTTACCTGGGTCAGATGAGTAACGTGCACACGCTGTTTCTCTCCCACATCCACATGCAGGCCTCCGAAGAGGAGGAAAAGGAGAGGCATGTCTCCCAATTCACCTCTCAGTTCCTTAGGCTGCACCACCTCCGGAGGCTCTATATGGAATCTCCCTCCTTCCTTGAAGGCCGGCTGGACCAGATGCTCAGGTGAGTGGTGTAACAGTGAACGCACACCCTAGAGCAGCAGTTCTCAACCTTCCTAATGCCGTGACCCCTTAATACAGTTCCTTATGTTGTGGTGACCCCAACCATAAAATTATTTTCGTTGCTACTCTATAACTGTAATTTTGCTACTGTTATAAATTGTAATGTAAATATCTTTTTGTTTTCCGATGGTCTTAGGCGACCCCTGTGAAAGGGTCATTCAACCCCAAAAGGGGTCGCGACCCACAGGCTGAGAACCACTGCTCTTATTAGTTATGACTGGGACATCCTTTCAATTGACTCTTAACCCTCTAAGCTCTTGTACAGAAGTCTAATTCAGCAAACAGTTGTGGAGAACAACTGTGTGACCAGCACTATGCGTGACATCATGGAAGGCACAGAAAACAGGGAGTATCTGAGCACCTACTATGTGTCAGGCACTTTATATAGCTCTCATTAATGCTTCGAGGATACAAATACCCACAAGACACCAATGAAGAAACAGAAAATCAACGGAGTTAAATAACCCACTAAAATTTGCACATCTAATAAGGAAAACCGCTGGAACTTAAGTCCATTTCAATATGATTCCACGTCCCTTGTTCCAGAAGTTACAAAAAGAACAGGTGCACTGGGTGAGATGGGAAAGCACAGTTGGACTTGGTAAGCAGGAGTTTACTTTCACTTGAGAGTGGAGCCTGATAAAGGCAATGGCCTGAGAGAAAGCTGAACAGATTGGAGGTGGCTGGATCCTAGAAGACTTTGAATGCCACACTCAGCAGTCTGGACTTCATCCTGTGAAAATTAAGGTCTCATAAAGGTTTGTGAGGGGGCAGGTCTTTGGAACTAGATATCAGAAAGAACCACCTGGAAGGAATGAGCAGCAGTTGGGTGTAAGGAGAAATTGGGGAGGGGGGTGTGGAAAAGCCGGGAAACAGAGCATGTGGCCAGCTGTGTTTGTCTGGACATGAGCTGCTGGGGCCAGAACTAGGGAGTAGCACGGAGAATGGCAGTGCAGGTGGAGGCTGCCAGGAAACTTTGCATCCCATGACCTGGCTTGCTCCCGAGTTGTATGTGAAGCACTCCACATTTTTCCTGGAATGTCATCTTATCTAAGATGCCTTCCCTGACCACCTGTTATAAATTAGCCCTCCCAGCCCATCCCCAGTCTCCCTATCGTCCTGGTGTTGCCTTATCTTTCTCCCTAGCCTTTATCGCCATTTGACATACTATATACTTATTTGTTTACTACCTAGACTCCCTGACAACAAGTTAAGCTTCAGACAGACAAGGATTTTTGTCTGTTTCATTCCCTGCAGTATCTATAAAAGTGCTTGGCGCACAGAAGGTATTGGGTTGTCGGAAAAGTCATGACGCATTTTTGCAACGAAAAACATAGAAAAAATACATCATGACTTTTCCAACGACCCAATACTTAATAAATATTTGTTAAATGAATAAATAAATGAGGTTTTCCTGAGGACATGGCATCTTCTTTATCCCTGTAGATCACAAGCCCAAGAGTCCTGTTTCATAGTCCTGCACACAGCACAGTGCCACACCTATCTGGGCCCTGTCACCTCAAATGCTACAGCCAGTCCCCTACCTAACTTACAAAGAGGATGTCACATTCTCTCCTCACTTGGACTCTTCACAATAGTAAGGAAGGACCTCCTTTTCATATGGTGCCAGTTACATGGCACAGCAGCTGAACAAAGCACTTACCAAAATTGCTAGTATTTCAGGGTACATGGAATCCCAAATTGGACTGTAAACTCAGGTCACTCTGTGCTTTTTCTGTATAATATTTATCACAGTGTAACTGATTAGTTATTGGTATAGTTATTTGTTTATGAGACCTGTGATTCTCAAACTTACCAGGCCCAAATCTCTGTTTTATGACAAATATTTTCTAGTCCCATCTTTCACTAGCCTGAAATAAACTTAATGGATAATACAACATGCCTACACACATTTTTTTCCATCAATAAATGCCCTAATGTTAATATAAAAAGACATAAAAGGAAAGTAATTTATGATAAAATAGTATATATTTCAATATATGAATGGGATGACAGCACTAGGACATCTAAAGTAGTCAGATACCCAGCTATAGGTAGATCACCACAAATGTGATGCTACCAATGCAAACTGATACAAACATGTTGTATTAAAGATCCAAATACTGTGCGAAGTCATTACAATGTGATTTTCCAAAATGGTGAATACTTCTTGTGAAATACTTCAATGGTAATTTACCCATCAAGAGCAGAACCAAGAAAAATTAATGCTGACAGATGCTTGAAAGCATAAAACCAAGGAAGAGCCATCATTTTCAGCCACTTGGATGAGCTACAGAAACTAGAGAAGGTTGGAAAAAGAGTTTACTTGACAGGCAAGTATGTGCCCCATTTTTTAAATGTATTATTTTTTTAATTAAAATGGATTTGACATATAATTGTGCAAGTTTAAGGTGTACAACATGTGGATTTGATGCATTTATATACTGCAATATGGTTGCTACTGTAGCCTTAGCTAGCGCCTCTATTGCCCAACTCATAAAAACAGAGAGTAAAATTGTAGTTACCGTGAGCTGGGGGTTGGGGGGATTGGAGAAATGTTGTTTAAGGTTACAAACTTGAAACTAGGAGGTAAGTAAGTCCTGGAGAACTAATGCATAGTATAGTGAGCATAGTGAGTTAGACAACAACACTGTATAATAAACATCAAATTTGCTAAGAGATTAGATCTTAATTATTCCCACTATGACCAGTGTTTTAAATGTATATACTATACGTGTCAGCCTCTAGCCAGCTCACCTACAAAACTAGGGCCGTTTTCAAGAGTTTGTTGTTGATGTGTGTAATAAACATCATATCTTAAATTTCTCACTAGAACAAAGTTTATTTAAAAAGTTTAGAACATTTAAGCCAATCAGAACCAATGACTCCTTTTTAAAATAATATTTTGTAGCTTCACTTCACTATTCTGAAAACAGAATTTATAAATTATATAACCTACCACACATATATTTCGAAAAATCAAGATAATGCTATAACCATAGTATAATGTAAAGAAGAAATAAAAGGAAAATAATTTGTAACTAAATAATGTGTATGTATTTTACTACATAAATGCTGAGGCACAACTGTACTAGAAGACACAATCAAGGAGTCTGAAGTTAGTGTTATACATAGAATTGCTGTGAACATGAAGAGCTACAAATGCAAACTATTCAAGGTATGTTGATACCAAGAGTAACGTCACCATTGGCTACATGATCTTTCCTAAATAGTAAACAATTCTTGGTAAAATTGCAAACAAAATGAAATGCAATCTTTCCTTGATTGTGTTTGTATTTTTGGAAGAAAAGAAATCAGTGTAAAATTAAAAATAGAATTACCATATGATCTAGTAATTTCACTTCTGCACATATATCCAAGATAATTGAAAGCAGGATCTCAGAGAGCTATTTGCAGACCCATGTTCATAGAAGGACTATTCACAATAGCCAAGAGATGGAAGCAACCCAAGTGTCCATTGACAAATGAATGGATAAACAAAATATGGTATATACATACAATGGAATATTACTCACCCTTAAAGAGGAAGGAAATTCTGACACATGCTATCACAATGATGAACCCTGAGGACATTATCTTAAGTGAAATGAGGTATCACAAAAAGATAAATGCTGTAGGATTCCACTTATATAAATTATATAGAGTAATCAAATTCATAGAAGCAGAAAGTACAATTGTGGTTGCCAGGGATTGGAGGAGGGGGAAATAGATAGTAACTGTTTCATGAGTACAGAGTTTCAATTTTGCAAGATGAAAAAGTTCTGAGGATCTGCTGCACAACAATGTGAATATACTTACCGAACTTTACACTTAGAAAATATTAAGATGGTAAATTTTGTTACGCATTTTTACTACAATTTAATAAAAGATATATAATAAACTCTTACAAAAAAACACTTGGTTTTATATACAAAAGCACTGGTTTCTAGGCTCACTGAAACAAACTTTTTTCATCTACATATATGTCCTTCAAGATGTTTGAAGGTCATGTGAGATAAAGAACAATTCTTCACTATGTGGGCCTGTCCTGTACATGGTAGGACACCTAGTTTCTCTCACCCTTGCCCACCCAATGCCTACTGCATCCACCAACATCTGACAACCCAAAACATTTCCACAAATTTTCAAAAGCTGCCACAGAACAGAACTGTGCCCAGAGTTGAGAACCATGACGCTAGATGGTAAGTGTGATGGGGGCAGGGATCTTGTGTCCTGTGTCTTGCTCATAATTGTGTCCCCAGAAACTAGCAAAGATTTAATACATGCTACTAAATGTGTTCAATCAGTAACCAATGAGTAAATAAATGAAGGTGCCCCTGAGAATAAAGATTGTGTTTTATTTATCTTTGGACCCTCTCACAGTACCTAAGACAGTGTATGGCATGCAATAGATGCTCAAAAATATTTGTTTATTCACTTAATAAATATATAGTGCTGAACTGTTGGATAGAACACACAATCCCTTCCCTTGTGGAATTTACAGACTGATGACAGAGACAGATAATAACCGAGTAAATAAACAATCTAGCATAACCAGGCTTTTATTCTGGTTCCAAGGTAATAGTAATAGTTGTAAGGGAGTAAGAATAGTAGAGGTAATAGTAGCAGTAATACTCCTAAAAATGATTAATTCTACCATGAACTATTACTTCTAACATTAGTTGCTACTTTTAGAATATCTACCAGACACCAAGCATATAGCTTGCAATAACCCTTCTAATTCTGACCCAGCACCTATAAGCTCTGGACTATCAGAGACCTGCTTGCTGCCACAGCATTATTTCTCAACACCTCTGCTTTCCCACCAATCCACTGGACATTCCAGCCGAGACTGAACTCATGCCAGTCTTTTGGTTCTGAACACACATATGCAGTCCTGCTTCCTGGGAGACGCCCTCCACCCCACCCTGCCTCAGCAGGTCCTACTCATCAAGTACACATCATTTCCTCTGGGAAGACGTCCTTGATCCCTTCCCAGTACCCCTCCTTTGTGGTCCCCTAGCACCTTGACCTTCCTGCATAATATCACTCATAGCATTGCATTGCTTGTTTACTTATCTGTATCTCTTGTTAAGAGTATAAAACCTATGAGGTTAGAAACCACATTTATTTTGTTCATTGCTATACCCTCTTGTAGGGACACTAGAATCCCCTTTAGTCTCTGGGTTTCCCTTCTCTGCCTTCTGTAAGCTTCTGTTTCTAATAGCCTGTGTCCACAAACCTCTTTGGAGGACTAACCTTAAGTCAAAGGAGACGCTTTGGCTGCACTGACCAAAAGCTAGAAGGGTCTGGAGTTTATATTCACCCTTCACCCACAAGACAGCCCCTAGCCACTGACTAATTGGTACTAGAGTATGGAAGCCCAGCCCTCTTTACC